AAGTCTCTACAAATGGGTTCTCCATTATATGGTCGGGCGCTGACGGGTTAATCTCTTTGTTAAGACCCTGACGTCTTTATTGCCTAATAAGGTGCCGCTCTCTAGTATAGCCCTCTTGAATAACCCCTTGGATAAGGGAGACAACACATGGGCCGATACGGACCAACTACCGGCGCTCTCACCAAATAATGTGATCTGATTGGGATCGCCACCAAACTTGTCAATGTTTTCTCTCACCTAATGATTAAACAAATTAATTAAAAATTTTATTTTATTCATAATTTCAAATGCAATACCCATTTCAATGCCAGCAATTGATCGTATCGTCCCAAGTTACCAGGCTCATGCTCAGTGCCCCCGTATAACCACCCGAATAGTCCCAGTCTATAGTTGGTGAATACAACGACCGTATCCTGAGTGGACAGTACCCTCCCGTCCCCATACGGTGAGAATATGGAGCCTGTTCTCAGACTCCCTCCATATATGCGAAACATGACAGGTTTGAGACCAGCTTTTGGGAGCGCTTTTCTACCGTTCCCTTCACTCGGACTCCATATGCTTAGTACTAAACAGTCTTCGCTCTGATTGAAGGGAACGGCTGTCACGCTATTCTGAAAGCAACTGTTTTTAGGTTTTGTCGCAGCGATCACGTCCTAAGTATAGACCAAAAAAAGTTTATAAATTTATTATTTTTAAATATTAATTGTATTTTACTTTACCTTAAATGGAGTGTTGATTGGTTGGGGTTTTCTAAACCTGAGCCCTCCTGCGGGAGGTTCGGCGAAAGGTATACCTAAAAACTGGTCAACACGCTTGTTTAATACATTAATAGTCTGACCCCTAACTACGCCGATACTGGTGCTCACATCGACGGTAGCACTTTGTACTAATCCAATGCTATTCACAAATACATAAAATGAAACTAATTTTAAAATTTTAAAATACATTTCGCTTTTGATTTTTTGGGACTTTTTACTTTTTATACTGCTAGAGAAGGCTTTTATACTTACATCAAGGTTCACATAACCAAAACATACAGGTCCAGGATATTACGAATAATCTAAAAGTTTTCAATAATCAAATGACAAACTGTAGATTTAATCAATTATGACCACAATTGTAAATTAAACACATTGTGGCCGTTTGTATAAATGTAACGGTTGCTTGCACTTATACACATACCGTAATGTTTACTAGTAAAACAATTAATTAATTATCATATGTTCACTGTTCATAATATTCGATACTATTAATTAATTGTCAAAACAATTGTGAGAAACAATTAAATTTTAAAAATTATTATCATTAAGGACAATGTCGCATGCGTACGATAAGTTGCCTTAACTGGCACCCGGGATATAATGATTAATTCCTATAGAACTTTCCACGACGAGTCCCAATATCTAATTTATATTTTCCTGTGACCTGGGTGTTTGTTTATATTACATTTGTGCATTTATTTAATATGTATTTTATTAATGATACTGTATTTTGTGTATAATATAAATGTTTATTAATTATAATGGGTGTGCAATGAGTCGGCTAATTATCAACATTACATTCCATACAGTTTTAATTATACACTGTATAGCATACAATTTATTACAAAATATAAAGTTTACGTACAGTAAAATATTCAAAAATTTAAAAAAAATTAATATTTATATTTTAATTATAAAAATAAAATCTAAATATTTATTTAATTCTCAATTCTGGCGGACAGTCTCTCTGTCGGTAGGGGTGAGTGCTTTCGAAGGCATCCAAACTCATAAGATATGTATTAATTTTACTGATTGTCGGATAGTCTTTGATATCGACCCCGAAATTAATTGCATTGAATACCTGTGGAGCCAGACATACATCAGCCACCGATAGCTCATCCCCGACACAGCACCGGCCGCTTGACTGGGCTAACAGTGCGTCCAACGACCGCAATCGGGTGCTGATCCAGTACTTGGCCCACGAGTCCGAGTCCTCATTAGTCTCTGATATAAAGTAATTAAAAGAAATAATTTTATTCAAAGTCTCTCTCTCTCTCTCTCTCTCTCTCTCGCATCCATTTCCCACATAATTATGTAATTATTTACTCAAGTCTTTAGCCATTATTTCGGAAACCCGTTCGCAAACCGAGTCGTTCTGAAGCGGTTGAATACCGGCCACGACTGCCAGTGCGATAGCCCTGGCCTTAGCCCTCAGCACCGGATCTTTAGGCAGCAGTACCGGTGNCCGTTCGCAAACCGAGTCGTTCTGAAGCGGTTGAATACCGGCCACGACTGCCAGTGCGATAGCCCTGGCCTTAGCCCTCAGCACCGGATCTTTAGGCAGCAGTACCGGTGCGCCGGTGTTGGCGTACTTTTCCTCCAAGTACTCAATGATGGCATAGGACTCGACCACCACCTGCTCGCCATCGACTACCAGTGCGGGCACCTGGTGTAAGGGGTTGAGGCGTTGAAAGCCCGGTGCAAACTGTTGGTCTGTATTCAGATCCACGGCTTTGTACTCGTATTCAATGCCCTTTAGATTCAGTGCTTAGGAATCGGTATTAAAAAAGTTTTAATTAAATTGTGATTAATATGTGAATTAATATCTAATATTATTTTCAATGTTGTTATTATTAGCAGTAAATAATATTTGACAACAAATATGACTGGCAGGCATATGATATTGCTCATATTGTATATTGTAATGTCAAATATGTCATAAACTATTGTCATCTCATGGCTTGTCATTCATATGAAGCATAAAATATTGAGTTAAGACATGTTTAACAGAAATAAGACATATTTCACAAAATATTTGATTAAAATACAATCAAAAATATATCCGAGACCTGAATATACAAAAAGTCAATAAATTCAATACATATTTTACTTTTATTAATATTGACATAAAAATATAAAGTGGACAGGCAGCTAAAACATGACATACCGATCCTCACCCGCCAGGAAC